ACAAAGTTGGGGGGTTAAATGGCTATTTTATAAATAGCCAACGGTTATTTTTGACAGCCCAACGGCTATATTTTTTAAAAAAAAAATTTAAAAAAAAATAGCCGTTGGGACCGTTTGGCCCGCTAAGGGACAGGGCCGGTCCCGGGCCCTGGCGGGCTAAACGGTCCCGGGCCTGACGGGCCCAAATCATAGGACCGGCCCATGAGACCGACCCAGGCCCGCTAAAACCGGGCCAAACGGTCCTGGCCCGTTTAGCTCATTTGGCCTGCGGTCCCGGACCGGTCCCGGGCCTGGACCGGCCCACTTGCCACCCTTAATTCCAACTGATGAATATTGTCTTGGGCTCTTGGCTGAAAGCATGTTAAGTCATCAACTGCCTTGCCTTCTACTATTCCACGCCTCAAAGCAAACTAGAAGCAGTTGTTTGACCCAAAATTTAGATCTAGGTTTAAACAATTAGATTTAATAAAATAATATTTAACCGATTTTATAACAATACAGTACGGACATTATCTAACTAGTAATAAATGACGATAAAACCGGTAATGTTCAATGACCCAAAAATGAAAGAGATAGCATTAAATAACAATAAATAGCAATGAATAGCATTTAAGTAAATAAGAACATGTGTGTCACCCGAAAAGGGTGAGATTCGTGGTTATTCTTTCTGACAATGATGAATGATTGATAAACCTTTGAATATTCGGATTCTTCTTGGATCGTAGGGGAAAAATTAGACAAGAATAGCAAGAAAAAGGTATATTTTGTATGTCTGCAATAAAGCAAGATTCTTCAAAGAATGTCAATGTGTTGTCTTGCAAATGAATATTTCATGTCCCCTATAACTATGTCCATTTCTATTTACAAGGGAATATGTGCCCAAAAAACCCTAATAGTACAGATACAGAGAATATCCACTGGAATATTCTCTTTAGAGTCTTATACTAAAACTAGTCGTTCTTATACTGTTTAAGACGAGTGTTCGTCCTCGACCTTGATCTATGTTGACTCTTCGACCCCACCCTTCATCTCTTGTGAGACCACTTCAACCTTGAACACGACTTTTGTCGAAGTCATTCTGTGACAAGTGGCAGCTCTTGAAGGCTCTCTTAATATTGAAAACTTTAACTAGGATAATTTTTAGCCCATAGTGGTTACAAACATTAAGCTTGAATTTTAGCTTTGTTTTTACAGAGTTACGAATTTTTTTGGAAAACAAAATAAATATCTGAAAGGGGTCGTTTCTTGAAAGTGATAGTATAATGATGCGTTTGAAAGATCTTTCAAAGTTATTCTTTTCTATTGAACGATTGATATTTATTTTCACTCTCCCTTTTCTCCCTTTTAGTCTCCACATTTATGATTATTGATGACTCACTTTCCTACTATTTCACTTGACCAAAAGATGTGTGATACCTCTAGCTGGTTCAGACTAAAGATCTCATTTTATGAACCACCAGTGGGAAGTTCTAATTGTAGTAGAGATTTGAAAAAAGAGAGTAGTAAGTATCTAGTCGTGCAAAGCATAATGAATGATTCTTAAGTTTACTTATCTACCCAATTCGGCTGGCCTTAAACAACCTACTTTTAACTTACTTTAATGCACTTTCTGAGTTATACTACTCTATTTGTTTGACTATCCTGCTTGTTTAATATGGCTTGCTGTCAGCCTGTCAAAGGGCTCTTTTCAACAACAAGGAAACCACTCTTCAAAAGTTTGAACCTAATCAAAATATGACATAGTAGGGAGAAGAAAAAAAAAAAAAAACTCGGTGCACTAAGTTTTCGCTATGCGCGAGGTCTGAGAAGGACTAGACCACAAGGGTCTATTATATGCAACTATACCCTATATTTCTGCAATAGGCTATTTTCACGGCTCGAACCCGTTACCTCCTGATCACGTGACAGCAACTCTACCAATTATGTCAAAGCTCCCTTTCATCTTAGGAAAAAGATAAACAGAAAAAAAAAAAAAAAAAAAAAAAAAAAAAAAAAA